TTATCCCACTCAAAATTGTATTAAACCAATTTTCTACGTATACTTCAAGCAATCAGGGTAGTTACAAGAATTAAAAAGAAACCTCTAGGATTCATGTTAATCAAATATAATGAACATCTGCACTTGGGTGTTTTATTTGATAGTCACTATTAATGCACCATCATGTCCAGATGGTTGGCATCTCTAACCATGTAACTTATACCAGTTCTTGATGATTTGTTCTGCTTTATAACACAATGATATATATGGCCTTGAGCTTCACTCCCTGAAATGTGCCCCCTGAACTTCATATCCCCCCCTTCACCTATTTCCATTTCAACATCTAGCATATTTGCCTGAGGCAATATAAAACTTGGCCATGGTTCCTTGCTAAAACTAGTATGTAGTGGCAGCAAAAAGTCATTAGCTAGTACAAATTTGGCTGGAGATCAGCAATGTTGGGTATAATCCATACCTTGGTTATAACTTGGATTCTGTTAAGAAGTAGAAGATCCAAAAGTCAACTGGAGTGGCTAGTCTCATAAGCAAAAATCAGGGAGATTTGATTGATGCAAAGTACCCTTACCATTCTAACCCTGCACCTATTTAGAAAGCCAATTGTTCAATCTTGTATTGCCCACAGCTACAGGTAGCAGGTCAAATTTAATAAGGCGCCCACTTCCAATTGGTAATGGCCCCTTTAGAAAGCAAAATAATGTCATGGAAAGAACACTGGCCAGGAGGTAATAAAATCTAGGACCAGCCCCAGGCATTTCAAGCCCACAAGCATTTACTGGATGCAGACCACATGAAGATACACTTGTGTGGAAAAACAGGCTATGCTGAGACATCACCTTTGACCTGAAGATGCTTACAACTTGTTACTAAAATCTGATATAGTTTTAATTAACCTCTCAGTGCCTCAGTTTCCAACTTGAAAATGGAAGTAATTATATCTGCTTAATATATTTCACATACATATTGTAGCATTCATCACACTCATAAATGAGGAGAAAAAAATCTGGTCCAGAGAGATCACATCCTACAACAATGAAATCCCAGATGATGTCAATATATATTTTAGTCTACATATTCTTTTGATCCTCAAATTTCAGAAAAATCACAACTAAAATAGTGAGCCATTGACTGATGCTTACTACAATTTTTTATAAATAATTTTTCAGTCACTTACATTTGTTTGCAATAAATTTATTGCCACAAAAACTCATCAGCAACTATTATGCAAAAGTATAGTAAGGAGAAGTGGAAGGCTAATATAAAAGACGCAATGAAGGATACTGAAAAGCCAGGCTCACTTTAGATGACTTATAAGTAGTCATCAAGGTAGGCTATTTAAGAAATAAATATTATAAAATTTTTAAAAATGAGGAAAATTAGGGAGAAAATGAAATAAGTGAAAAAAGGAATTCATTAAAGTGGTAATTTTTCTGCTGCCTCTCTTCTTTCATCCTTTTCCCTAAAGCTTCTTTTCAGGAAATAGCTAAACTATTGACAAAACGAGCAACTGACTCTGTGGTGTGATTTGAAAAGACATTTTTAAAAACCAAACCTACAAACCAAAAATCTCCCTCAATTATCATTGGTCTATCACAGGATGTTTAATGTCCACATCAGTAACCCTTAGGGATTAAATTACTTTAAGAATTTTATTAAAATACCTATTTCTTTCTCTGAAGCATAGAGCATTAAGCCATTATTAAACACTGATGTTAGCCTGTATAAGATTAACCAAACAGCCTCGTGTAGAGTCTAAAAGGAAGTGGACAGCAAACAGATTTGGTAGTGGAGAGAGATTTGTGGAGGTGCCATCTGAATGGGAAAAATTTGAGTGGAGTCACAGAATAAAGGAGCTATACCATCAAAGAGCACCATGAGAGAACTGAGACCCTGGGCTGTAAAGTGCCAGATTTAAAGAGAAATTATGAACAAATGGATGAGGAAACCTGTAAAGATATTACTACTTCACAAAATTCCTTACATGTTTAGCTTGAAAAAAGTAGTTGTGCTCTTTAAAGTCTCCTATGCAGAATTGTAAGACTTTCTAAAAGATTTCTTGAGAAAGTGACATACTCATGTAGCAGTTTATTTTGCACACAGAAACACTCATTTATTTATTTAATCATTGATTAAGCTTCTTTGATTTGGAGGCTAAGACAAAGGGCTTTTTCCATGTTCTGAAGACAAAACAGTAAGTAAATAGTGAGTGAATTCTCATGAGATCTGGTGGTTTTATAAGGGGCTTTTCCCCTCCTTTGCTTTTCACTTCCCCTTGCTGCTGACATGTGAAGAAGTATGTGTTTGCTTCCCCTTCTGCCATGATTTTAAGTTTCCCAAGGCCTCACTAGCCCTGTGAAACTGTAAGCCAATTAAATCTCTTTTCTTTATAAATTACCCAGTCCATGTCTTTATTAGCAGCATAAGAATGGACTAACACATTCATAAAATTTAGTCCTGGGCCAAAGCCAGGGTATTCAAAATATTGGCTAAAGAGTTTGAACATGACAGCCCTTGAAGATGAACTTAAAGCCAGAAGATGAAGCAGGTAAGAATAAGCTGAGATGCCAAAATTGGAAGTGGGGCAAACACAAATAGAAGGAGGAGGTAAAAAGTCAGAGCCTGAGCAACGCAGGACAGAGTAATGCCTGTGGGCAGTGTAGCTTGATTCAGAACACATTTTTGCAAACCCAGCTATTTGGCGGCTACATTCATTTTGCATGTGGTTAGGTGAGTTCCAGCTAGGTCCAAACAGGACATTTACAAGGGCATGTATGGATACAGGATGAATGATTCTCTCTAACAATCTCTGGAGATTAGCTAGAGAATAGCTAACAGCCCTGGAGAAAGAACGATGAAATCAGATAGATGGAATAAGACAGGGTTTGATATCAGCTGGAAAAGTATGTTGGAAAATCGACTAACACAGTGATTCAGACAGGTAGAAAAAGTAGTATTGGTAGAAGTCCACTGATAAAAGGGAGAATAGGGGACTGGATAGCTTATGGAAGAAGTGGAAGCGAAGGAGTGGAAAAGATAGTTATATCTACTGAAAAGGCAGTCTCATATCTAAATACAGTCTTTTTCAAATCAATTATGGAAATGGCTGATGTGTGACCCACAACTGAAGGCTCTGCTATACATGAGTAGTTAAAATAATGAAGAGGATGGAGAAAGAGAGAATATGATGCTAGTTCTCATGTTTTCCAGTTCATTAAAAAGGGAAAGAATATCAGGCTATAAGAAAGATGAAATTATGTGTATTTTCAATGAGTATAACGAAGAGTAGATATAAAGCAGAAAGTGAAAGAGTTTCATAAATAAAGCAGAGACTTCCATTTAGGTGCTTTTACATGAATGGCTGCCTTTTGTCACCCACCCTTCAGGTACTAAAAACCTGAGATAACAAATCAGAAATTAACTTGTTTTCATAGTATTGCACTGTTTGCAACATGCTTTGCTCTTTAGTGTGCCTTTTTCTCAGGGCAACCCTGTGAGAGAAAAATAAAGACACATGCCCCATCCCCATTTTATAGAAGCAGAAACTAGGACCAAGCACTTCCCTCAAGCAGATGTATTTCTGCCTCTAAAGTCCACGCTTCTTTCCATATGCCACGCAGTGTGAATAAGACAAGCTTCACATCTCATCTCAAAACTGGGAAAAACAGAGAGTCCCTACAAGACAGAAACATCAGCTGCTAAAGTCAGCCCTATTACGAATAAGTGGTTAGAATGATACTTTGGTTTCTTGGTGTCCTACATAAAGAAATCTATGCTCTTGAATAAGTTATGAAACTATATTGCTATTATGAGAAATGTCTTTTATCACTCAGTAATTTGTGTAATCATAAATCTATATACTTGGCAGAATTCATAATGACTCCATATACCCACAACTAGGGCTCAATCACTATTTATTACTTGTGAGAGATTCCTTGTTGATTTTCTATTACATCATTTAAAATATTGATCTCAAGTTATTACCCATATGATCATGAATCAAGTGCTGTGTGCTTACATACTGCAGCTAAAGACACTGATCCAACAGTATCATTACATGGGATTTAAAGTATCACAACTCCCTAAAGAAATCTGCTGAAACCAGTTGGATGTACTTTGAATTATTTGTTTAGTTAATTATCAATAGCTTCAAAGTGGGCCACTGTAAAAGCTTTCTCAGTAAACCGCTTTCAAAGCCTCCAGAAGTTTATAGGCAATATGCTTCTTTTACACTCCATGCAAGGTTCTCCTGTTTTTTGGCCTGTGTGTTACATGTATCTTTGCACTTTTCACTAATGGTTTGTAGCAGCCCTGGTTCACTGTTAGGCTACCCAGACATCTTAAAGAGTCTTCCAGTTGTTTCAGATGGGGTTTGAATTTGAACTTAATCTCTTTACCATCATAATAATAAATACACCCATCAGATCACTCTGGATAAAGAAGTTAAATATGTAAGTCTCCAAGTCCTTATTACCCAATATCTTTCTTAAAGCTTCCAGGTCCCAGACTCACAATTACCACTTCATATGGCTGCTGCTTCCCTTCTTATCTTATTATCTTCTCTTAATATTCTGGCAATTAAGATCATATCCAGTGTGTCTGGAGGAAGGGTGACCTGGATGAGACTTCCTAAGATGTTATCTGATGCAGGCACTGAAGCTGTGATGAGAAGACTGATGAACATATAGTATTCACAAAAAGATACCGTCTTTATTCCAGGGAGAAGATGAGGTTGTATCGATTTTTATTTCATTTTTTATTTTGACATATGCAAGGCGATACACACTGTGTAAGTTCATTTAAGTTGCAAATATGATTCTCAGAATCCACTTTTCAGCATAATTCCAAATTCCTGTGGGCTACAAGAGATACTTTAGATGACATTTGAAAAGTGGAAGAGAAGCAGCAGCCATATCCTTTTATATTGGGAAGGTCAATGCAATTGCAATGCAAGACATCAGGTGCCATTGCAAATCAGGCACATTGTTTCTGATGGGCTGGCTTACCTTGTCTAAGTGGAGCAGGGCCAGCCAACAGTCACTCCAGCAACAGCTGTATCTCCTCCTTCAGCTTCTCCAAATCCTTGGCCAGTGAATGCAGTGTCTATACCAGCAACAGGACTTGCTCGTCCAACTCCTGTTGAGTCTCTTCCTTTATCTTCTCTGACTCTTGGGCCAGTGCTGTGTTTAGCTTCATAGGAAAGGCCACCAGTTTTATATCTAGTCAGAAACAACACTGATGTTGGAACTTGGAGCTGACAAAAGACCTACATGTGTTCCAGCTCACTCTTATGTGTTCTAATTTGTCTTGTTCCTTCCCCACTTCACCATATTTCCTTCCCAATGGCCTGCCTTCCTGACTTCAGTCTCAGTGTCTAATGTAGAAAAAAGCAGGTTTATATAGTTTAACAAGCTCCTACAAATGTGTAAGTTGGAATCCATGTAGTCAATCCTCTGGTCATTATCATTCCTAGGAGCTCTGTTTCTCTGATTCAAACTTGTCTAGTAAAACGTATATCTATTACACTCAGGGGGATACTATTTAATAAATTTTTTTCCAACAACTTATTTCATGTAATCCATTCAAATTTAGAGTGATAAAGGAGAAAATTCTACATTTAAAGCTTTAGGTTAATATTTTGTCAACTTCTATTTTTCCAAATGATTTTGTTTTAAATAGTTTTCTTTGGGTAAAATGTAAATATTATTAAATTATTAGAAACTTAAGATTCCCTCCAATAGATTATTCTGAAAGCCACATTCATGCTGAAATTAATTCAGTCATAAGAGAACAATGTTCTTAATTATGGCATGGATGAGTTTTGTAATTCTAACCATTGAAACCCTTTTCTAATTCTGACATCTTGAAGAATTAATTCTTCTCAGACTTGGGAAAATAAGAGAATTCATGAAAATTATTTCAAGACACAGGTATTGTCTTCACAGTGAAGACATTTAACTGTAGGTATGTGAAACCAGGAAATGAACTAATAAAATTACTTACAAATATGAATATGTTTCCCTATACAAGCTATTGATCTAATTTATATCACATCTAATTTTCTTTCACTTTTCTCTACCTCACAGAGAAAATAATGTGCTGGTGTAAATTCATAGAGGAGTACATTCATAATAGCTAGAATACATACAGGTTGAACACTCAGAGCTAAAAGTTTAATGTGCTCCATAGTTCTCTGTGGAGACACTTTAGATGACATTTGAAAAGTGGAAAAGAAGCAGCAGCCATATCCTTTTATACTGGGAAGGTCAATGCAACTGCAATGTAAGACACATCAGGTGCCAGTGCAAATCAGGTACAAGTTTTGTTTTGTTTCTCTAGTTTTGTATAATATTACTCATGTGTTGAAGCAATGATAGCTTAACATCTGAGTTAAGTTTGTTTCTCTAGTTTTATGTGTTACTCATATGTGTTGAAGCAATGGTAGTTTAACATCTGAGTCATTCCATGCAACTTGGCAGTTCAAGTGTGGATGAAATTTTGCTCAAGCTGAAGAAGATACAGGATGAGAGAGACCAAGCTCTGACCTGCAATTCAGTAAAATATAAAAGAAGGATGTCAGCCTATACCAAGGCTTCAGAAGAGAGAACTTACTCTAAAGAAGACAATGGGAGGGGTAGGTGATATTGCTGTTTTGTGCCTATAAAAGAACAAAAGAAGCAGAAAAGAAATGATGTTGAAGGGATGAGTCCACAAGATAGACAAAGGGTTCCATGGTAACATTACTACCTCTGGAGTCCACAAAAGCTGTTTGCATTTTCTCACAAAATCCCGAACTAAAGCTGCTATGTGATCTTTAATAAAGTCCCTGGCAAATATTGTTTGCAGGTGGATTCTACAGAAGGAATTTTGAAAAACTATTTTCCATTGGATTACATTAAGGCTATATAACTTGCTGGGTGCGGGGGCTGACACCTGTAATCCCAGAACTTTGGGGGGCCAAAGCAGGGGGTTACTTCTTGAGGCCAGTTAGCCAGGTGTGGTGGCACATGCCTGTAATCCCAGCTACTTGGGAGTCTAAGGCACAAAAATTGCTTGAACCTGTGAGGCAGAGGTTGTAGTAAGCTATGATCATGCCACTGCACTCCAGCCTGGGCAACAGAGCAAGACTCTGTCTCAAAAGAGAAAAGAAAAGGTTATGTAGCTCTATTACAAGTAAGCATATTTTTTTAAGATAAAGAGGGTTCTTGTAATGTTTAGTTAAAAAAATAGATTCATAGATGGATTAGCATAAATACCCCAGTGATCACAATATGAGACACTATAAACCTCTGTACAAAGATGAAATTATTTCAATAGAGAGATGAAGAAAAACATTTGCAAAGTTCTGGTTATTTATGAGTTTTGAAAGGTAAAGGAGATTTCAAAATGTAAAAAAGGAATTACAGATATTGGCAACAGAAGGAGAAACGCATCAAACTAGGAAAAGTCAGGGTCTGTTAAAGGAATTAAGTGGAAACATCTAAAGTATGATATACACATATGGAGGAAAAATAAGAGCTTGGGAAGTAGGTTGCAGCACATTTTGAACTAGAGAGCCCTAAATGCCAAGCAAATTTTTTTTACCTTACTTAATTGGAATTACAACCCCAAGAAGGTGTCTTCATAAGAGAGTGTTACAGAGATAACTGTTAATTCAGAGGGTTAATCCAGCAGTACTGTGTAGGTTGAACCAAGGACAGTAAAGCTGAAGCTGTAGAGACCAGTTCAGAAAGAATATGGAAGACTGTAAATAATAAGAGATTAGAAATTCAATTTAGGAATTAAGCACAACTATTTTATTACAAAATATGGGGTGGGAAAGAGAAATAACAAACGCAGTTTTAAGCACATTTATTTATTTTTATGAAATAGAAGATAAGGTCATTTTTTGAGAAAAATGGACAGATGGTCAGGTTATAATTTGAAGATAGTAGAAAGGGCTAATGTATCAATTATTTACGGTAGGATTGTCCATCACTCTCATAATTCCACTAGCTGTCCAGTCCATGCTACTTGATACAACATGTTCTGTCCAATTTGTTCTGGGAACTGCCCAACTATTGTCCCAAATAGCCTGCTTGGCCACAGTTGATTAGCCCAGAACTGAGCACTGGAATCAAGTGTAACCAATGAGAATGCTCACTAGCATTTCTGAACCTATGCTATAAAAGTCAGTCTCTTTCTAGTAACTCGGGTTTCAGGATGGAAACTTTAGTGCTAGATCTTACTGTCCCGCCATTGTGTCTCCCACATGCTCCCTCCCATATGGAACACAGAGCAGATCCAATCTGCACAGAAAAATCTAAAGTTTCAAATAGATTCCTAAAGAAAATAATAAACACAAAATGGAGGAAGGTGGAATTTAGTCCCCTGGTTCCAGTGGTTACTGAGGATCAGTCCTTTTCCCATCCTTCGATTCAGTGAGACATACAAGAAAAATTTTAATACATTCCCTTTATATATTTTTGCTCAAGTGGATTCAAGTTGCTTTTCTGACACTTGGAATAAAAAGGTTGTAATTAATAAAAAACTGTGTGTCTCTGTGGAGAATTAACAACAGTACTGACTAGGGAGGTACCCAAGCATTCCCCAAAACCATTATGGCATCCAAATGAAGTTTGGGGAAATAAGTGGCAAAAATGCTCATCTGCTGGGTGTATGAATTTCTGAAGAAGTCTTCAGTAGCCCAGAGATGGCTGAAGAAAAGGTAGGTATTGAAATGGTTAAAAATTATGGTTTTAATAATAAAGAAATACAAACTACAGGTAACAAAATGTGAATGTTTACAAAATTGACAAACGTGTGATTGAAGCTTAGGGTGAAGTGAGTCTCGAACGCAATCATGTAATCAGTTTGCAATATGTGCACTGACCAGAGGCATAGAACGCACAACATAATTTCTATGTTCCCTTTCTCCTCTTTAGGATCTAAATTTAGACTCCATCATTCGTATATAAAAAGCAAATTAATGTAACTCTCCAAATCAAGATGATAGTAAATGAACTGATATAAAATCACCAAACAAAACTAAAAGATGTTTTGTTTGTTTGTTTGAACAGAAAACCAAATGCCCAGGAGACCAAATAAGGTAGTAAAAATCACAAGGATAAGAAACAAGAAGAAATAGACACATGGAAGAAATAAAAATTATCATCTAATTGTACTAAAAACACTAAAATTAGTCTAAAAAAAGAATTGTGTGCCTACCGTTGTAAAATAACATGGTGACTAATTTTCACCATTTTCAAGTTGCCATTCGTATGCTTTCTGTTCTTGAGTAAGATTTTGAAGTGGGAAATTATCACTGCGGGTGTCCCACTCAAACTCCCTCACACTTACTTTAATGCCTGCTCTCTGGATTTCCAACTGCCTACACCTGCATTTTGTTGCCTATGTATTTTTCTCTGGCTACTAAAGCCACTGTATCCTAGACATATCTAAGAGTTACCACCCCTTGAGAACATCTTTCAACCAATGACTAAAGGGAGTTTACTGTGTAAATGTCACAGCTTGCTCTCCCCACCCTGGGGGTGTTTTTGAAGCACACCCAGATTTCTTTGGTGAGAAGGAAATCTAGATATTATCAGTAGCAACCTGCTTGCTAATAAATTTGTCATTGGCTGTCTTTTCTTTTCTACTACACTTTCCCATTCCCTACTGGCATTTTCTGAAATTATCAAATAAGTAACTTGAATTTGAATATTTGTTTCGGGGTTTGATTCTGAGGAAACATAAACCACCAAAAAGATTTGGAGTATAGTGAAGAGAATGGTGTTACATTATCATTCGGGGACCTCTTTTCTCAGAGTTCAAGATTTAAAGAGTTTTATTTCCTGGTAGAAGAGAAGTGGCAGTTCTTTAATATTGTGTAGTACAGAGATGGGTAAGAGCTTTGAGATACCAATTAAGGATTATATAAAATTAAACAGAATGTGAACAGGGCTAAAAGTTGATATTTCATTAAAAAATAATGTTTTCATCTATAAATATAGGTTTCTGATTATTGAAGTGAGACTACCTTTATGTTACTTAAAGGCTACTGTGGTATGTTAAGGCTAAAACATTATGTAACAGCTTTCAACAGTAAAATATTATATATTTGGATTCTATTATTTGTAACAAGTCAAAACATAGCCAAGAAAATACACTAGAGTAATACAAGTTGCTGTAATAACTGCTACTATTGAAAGGTTTATCATAATTAGAATTTAATCTTACATTTAAGGAGGGGGATCCAAGATGGCCGTTTAGGAACAGCTGAGGATTGCAGCCCCCAGTGAAAGCACAGAGGGTGAGTGGATGCCGCATTTTTATTGCCCACAGACTAGGAAATTCCCAGGCGGAGAAGATCCACAGGTCACCAGCGCAGCTGTTTTGGCCAGCGCCGCTGCGCTGGCCGGCTCCGATGCTTTGCCCCGCGTGGCTGCTTTGTTGGTGCCCCGGAGCAGCGGTTCTCCGTACAAAATACACCGGTCAGGGAGCCCTTTTGGCTGGCCATGGGATTGGAGCCACGGGAAGGCGCCCATTCGTCTGTTTAAAAAGGGGACTGAGCAGGGAACCACGACAGTAGATTCCAGGGCAAAAAAAAAAAAAAGCGCCACAAACCTCAGTGCCGCTGTTTAAGCCAGCGCAGTGAGTGGCCGCAGGGGAAAACAAACAGACCCCGGCGCCTCTTCAACAGGCAACTGGAACACCAACTTAAAAAAGGCTCTGAGGCAGGGAGCCAGGCGATCAGGCTCAGCTGGTCCCACCCCCACAAAAGAACAGCAACCAAAAACTCTGGATTGAGAGTTTCACAGCAAGCGCAGCTGAACCCGAGATGGTCCAGCTCTGTGGGGAGGGACGTCCGCCATTACCGAGGCAGCCCGCCACAACGGAGGTAGTCGGCCAATGCTGAGGCAGCCCGCTGTTGCCAAGGCAACCCGCCATTGCTGAGGCAGCCTGCCGTTGCCAAGGCAACCCGCCACAGCAGAGAGACTCCGCCTCAACAGAGGCGGGCCACCATCGCCAAAGCAGTTCTAACTACACCCATATAAACAGGACTGTAGGGAAGTTCACTCGGCAGCTGGGCGGAGCCCACAGCAGCTCAGCAAAGCCTCTACAGGCCAACAGTGACTAGGCTGCCTCCTTGCTGGGCAGGGCAGGTCTGAAGGAAAAAAAAAAAGAAAGCAGCAGCATAACGGAAACTCATAAATAAAGCCCTAAATCCCTGGGACAGAGCACCTGGGAACAAAAAGCAGTTTATGAGTTCTGCTGCAGCAGACCTAAACGTACCTGCCCAGCAGCTCCGAATGAACAACAGAGCTCACAGTTCAGCATTTGAGCTCCTATAAAGAAGAGGTGGCCTCCTCAAGCAGCTCCCTGACCCCTATATATCCAAAGAGACACCTCATAAGGGAGAGATCAGATTGACACTAGGTGGGTATCCTTCTGGGACAAAGATAGCAAAAGAAGAAAACTGGTAACAACCCTTACTGTTCAGCAGCTGCTGCAGGTGAACCCCAGGCAAGCAGGGCCTGGAGTGAAATCAGCAGACCTACAGCAGAGGGGCCAGGTTGTCAGAAGGAAAACCAAGAAACAGAAATAACCTCATCATCAACAAACAGAACGTCAATCTGAAAGATTTGAGACCCAATCTGAAAGCCAGCAACTACAAAGTCGACAGGTGGATAAATCCTTAAAGATGGGAAGAAACCAGCGCAAAAAGGATGAAAACACCCGAAACCAGAACACCTCTCCTCCTACAAGGGATCACAACTCCTCACCAGCAAGGGAACAAGGTTGGAGGGAGAATGAAATGACAGAATCAGACTTCAGAAGGTGGGTAGTAAGAAACTTCTGTGAACTTAAAAAACATGTTCTAACCAAATGCAAAGAAACTAAGAACCTTGAGAAAAGATTTGACGAAATGCTAACAAGAATGGACAAAATAGAAAGGAATATAAGTGAATTGATGGAGCTGAAAAACGCAACACGAGAACTTCGCGAAGCATGCACAAGCATCAACAGCCGAATTGACCAAGCAGAAGAAACGATATCA